AGAGAGAGAAAAAAAAAATAATACAACTGACATTAGCGGACTTTTTATTTTAATATTCAGATCGTTGATTCTTATCCTGTATAGATATATACCTTTTCTTTTTTGTTTTTGTTGTTAGGAGAATTATTCAACTGAAAGAAAAGATAAACAATGCCAGAAACCCATGAACGTCAACTTTCGACTAGTGAAGATGAAACTGGTAAACAACGGCGGTCAAGCAGTTCAGGTAAAAGAGAAAAATACAATTTTTTAATTCTATAAATTATTTTCTAGCATCTGAAAATCGTGCAACAATGGTTACATATTGGAAACGTAATTCAAACCCAAATCTTCAAAGTATGATGCTTGATACAAATGCTGATAAAATTAATCAATTTGAATATCCTGAAATACTGGAATGTTTACCTGATCTTGATGGTAAACGTGTACTTGAATTGGGAGCTGGTATTGGGTTTGTATTTGAACTAAAAGTAAAACACGAAAAAGATCAGCGATCTTGTTTTTTAGACGTTTTACAAAACGATTTGCTCAATTAGCTAAATCGGTTGTTGCTGTTGATTTTATGGAAAGTTTTTTGGAAAAAAATAGAGAAGAGAATAGTCATTATGGTACAGTGGAATTTTTACATAAAGATGCCACACAATTATCATTTGAACGAAATAGGTATCTATGATAACAAACAAGAAATAATTTATTATTTTGTTTACTTGTATTTGTTTGTTTTTTGTTTAGTTTCGATATTGTCTTTAGCAATTGGCTCTTTATGTATCTTTCAGATGAAGAAACTGAACAACTTTTACAAAAAAGTCTTTCGTGGCTTTCACCAGACGGAACATTGTTCTTTCGTGAATCATGCTTCCATTCTTCAGGTTTATTAGATTTTATATTCAAATATATAGTATTATCAGAAATAACATATCGAACACGTTTACTGTATTATGAGTAGCCTTATTCGATATTAAATAGTTTGATGATAATATGTATGCATTTTGTACTATTTGTGATGTTTTTCGATTAGTGGTTGAGTCCCTGAAAAACTGTTTAAGCTCTCCTAAGATTCAGCGTTTTATCCGACGTGAAGATCCAAAGAAGCCCTACCGCTATGAAATTCAGGTTGACCCTCTTGGAGTTTGTGGCTCTTCTTCCATGTGCTACGTATTCGTGTTCTCAAAAATAAGTGTTCACTCCTTCGAACGAGAAAATTTAGATAAAACATAGCTAGAATTGAAACCATCTATTATTCGCTTTAGAAGAATATACTTCTTTTCAGCTTTAGTTGGAGGCTCAGGCCCCCCCCCGCCCCACAGTTTTGAATTTTGTCTGGTTCCAGCATTATGTTCGACCTTTACTATCCAATGAATTTAATGATTCTCGTTATTTTTATAGGAAATATCAAACCTGATGAAAATCCAACATATTATCGTTCACCACGACAATATATTGATATATGTCAATCACGTATATTAAATGGTACACCTGAACATCCACATGATCAAGTTTATGAACTTATTTTTGCTAAAGCATTGGAATCATATTATGAAATAAAAAATAATAATAATCAAGTAAAATAGAAGCATTCAAAAGAAAAATGAAA